ATATTACCCTACTGGTCCTTTCAATTTACTTCGACTTCTGATTTTTTGTGTTTTTTTTTTTTTTTTAATTAAAAATACCTAAAATACTGAAGCTTAAAATGTGACTTGTGCAGGCTGAGTCCCTGTTTTCACAGGAATTTGATGGTTTACTAGGCTTGAATACTACTAATCTACAACAATGACAGCCAAGCTTTTCCTAGAAATAGAAGAGAATAGTTACAAGGAATAATAGGTGTGATGGTTATGTTCTTGTTGTAATACAGTAAATTGGTGCTCTTTCTAAAGACTTGCTAAATATAATCAGTTCAGATTATTTGCTCAGCAACTTTGCTGCAAAAAAAAAAAAAAGCTTGTTTCAGATAGTGAGATAAACATTTTTCACTGCAATATATCCAGAATAAATTAATTGACAGAAAAAAAAAATATTCAATTGTAATTGCCTAGAATTTTAGCTTTTTAAGAAGTACAGGTCAGAAATTATTTTTTAAATTATGCTCAATCCAAATTTTGCCTTTCTCAATCTCCATCCTAGTTTCAGTGATTACCTTTTGTCTGGCTGGCAATGAAGTTTAAGCCTTTTAATTATTCACAGCTACTACTCTGCTGATCACCAGCTTCACTCCAGTTCAGTGGTCCTTACATACATGAAATGCCTATTTCTTTGAAGAAGTCAAAATAGGGCAGTAATTCTGTTATCTTTACTTTTGTAGCACAGTTTTCCACATTAATATATACTTACCAAATTGTTGTGTGTATATTATCTTAGTGTGGCTTTTGCTGCTCTCTAAAGCTTCAGGGTCACAATGGTGACACAGACCATGTCCTGCCATGCTGAGGGGTTTTGAATGGCTCCCACACAAAGCTATTGCACTGCAGAAGGACAGGCATCACTACTGTCACACATGACTTTATTTCAAACAAATAATCAGGCACTCTGAGCTTCTAGGACTGTTTATGTTTTTGTCATACCTCTGTCATAATTTCAGAAAGACAAAGAGTATCCTGTTGATTTAACTGTCTCTCCTTAGCTCTGAAAGCAGATGAAAGATAAAAATTGTCCCTATGAGTTCCAGTTCCATCTTGTCTTGCTCCAAGCCTTACAGGGGATCAAGGACAAGTAATATATTTTATGATTTTTCCACACAGCAAAGAGGAAATCTGTGTATGGAGAGTCTTCAACATAAACACATGCACTGAGAGAAGTTGATTCAGATGTTGATATTTCTTTTTATTTCTAGCATTGTTTATTTACTATGCAGTCTTTAACCTAGTTAATGATTCCAACTTTTGAAACTTAACAGTTATCAGAGGGAAGAGTGGTATGTATAGAACAAAGAATACAGGAAAAAACATACCACAGCAACCACTATTACTGCTTGAACTTTTCAGGTTTATGTGGGATAGATATTGTCTCTGATCTCACTAAAAGATAGTTTAACAAAGACTTTCAAAGCAACCAATTATTTATTATTTTTCATTATTTTGTGTGGCCAAGATGAGGTGTCATATGAAGATCCTGCTGTCACTGCTGAAACAAAAGTTGTGACATAGCCAATATTTTGGTGTTTGATGGTGAAATGGAGGTGTGCAGCTCCACCAATCCTTTTCTTTTCAGCTGTAAGTAGTGATTACAGTGAAATTATTTCTCATATCCAGTGTTGCTGGGAAACTATATTACACTTTACAGTGCCCTGGGTTTCCTACTCAAGCTCTAAGGGGCTTGCCAGGGCTGCTTCCATGTGGAAATGTGTGTAAAGAAGGCACTGGGCCTTGTTCCCAGAGCCCTGCAGTAGGAAGGGGACAAGTCATCTCTCCTGGCTGTAGCTGGGCTCTTGTACTGCACAAGGTGTATCCTTTGAAGGCCTTTTTAATAAATACCTACTTTATTCCTTTAACACTGCTCTAGGTAGCTTCTGAAGGCATCACTCTTCAAAGGAGTGTTTCTGGGTAAAGTGCCATCTGCACCCTAAAAAATATACCAAGAGACTAGAAATATAAAGAAAAGTTTCATTCAACAGAAACTTTTGCAAGTGTAAGGGAAGACTCAACAAAGCCTTGGCACCCTCCTCCAGCCCTAGACCTGGTAGCTCTTTGAATTTGCCTTTTAACCCCGCGCTGCTCTGCTCCCCTCCCTCCTGGCAAACAGAAGGCCCTTATACTACAAAGAATGTCTCCTTTAGAACACATTTATTTGGGAAAAGAATGTAAAACCTGATAAAGCCAGATCCAGCCACAACTCAGCAGATTTCATGTTGCAAGTGTGCTATATTTTCTATTAAAGCTGGCGCCAGCGATCAATTTCTGCCATTCAGTCCACTCCGTGTGGTTGTATATTTTCTTAATGAGGATCTGAAATCAGCCTCTTTCACTCAACTGACAGTCTGCCAGAATTATGCCATCTTTCCAAATGCAGACATCATATGATCCATCTGTTGTCTGCAGCCATGCAGGGGAAATATTTTCCAAGGAGAAATGTGGGTTGGTCCCAAAAGTATGCAATTATCCAAGCGCTGAAGTGTTTCAGATGTTTCAAGGTGCTCTTGGGCCTCGTCTTGGGCATTGAAGCTCCTATGAAGTCTTTCAGAATAATGTACATAACTAAGTCATTGAGTTGCCAGAAAATTTTCAGCGTACAGGAGTAATTTTTAAATTATTTTTGAATAACTTTGAGCTGAATCAGATATTTAGGTCTCAGCAATATCATCTGGGGACGTTTATGAGTACTCACATTTGTGAGTACTACAATCTTAAGTAGTTAACTTTTTTGTTTTAATATTATCATATACAATACCAAATATAAAGAGTATTAAGTGAATATGCATTAAAAATGTTTTAATCTATTTTTATAATGATTTAATTATATGCTAGAATACTGCAGTAACTCTGCAACGTCATTGATTCTCATAACTCTGCAAACTACCAGATGCAAAAGAAGTTGTAGGATGATAAATAATAGCAATGGAGGAAAAAAAAGGAAAATATGATTGAGAGACTGTAAAATGAAGGGCTATCTCAGATCTTTCTCTACCTTACATGAAGGCGTGTGGAATTAATTTCATATTACATCTGACTCTGCTTAAATTTTCTTTGCAGATATCTTGAATGTTGCCAAATATGATTAAACTGATAGTTAAGCCCTCATCAGGTGCTGCCTCCTTGACGTACAGAACCCAAATTTTAATCATGAGCAAATGGAACTTTGTCTGAAGTACTGATAACTATGCTCAAACTACTAAACCAGTCCTTAGTAAGATGGACTTCAAGTCCAAAGGATGCAAACACCTTTACCAGCCCCAAGGTGTTAAATTTGGAAACATCCATCTATTTATTGCTTTATTCTGTCAGCTGTACTTGGGCTGAAAACAGCAAAAGTCAGTTCTCACTGTTATATGTTTCAGACTTCCAGGAAAAAAATATTTCAGCATCACTCTCAGATCACAACTGCCATCCTATGGACTGAACCCATTATGCTGAGGAAGTTCTATGATGCAAATAGCATGGAGAGAAATAAGTTTATTTCTATAAATAAAGCTATAATGAGAACACACATCATTCAACATATTTTAAACATTTTAAATGTGCAGGCATATCTCCTGAAATACATAAACTGAACCAAACCAAACAATGCCCAAACAAACAAACAAAACAAAACCAGATAAGTTTCTCATATTGTTTTTGTGAGTAGTAGAAACATGAATCTTTAGTGTACCATTGGCCAAATTATTTCAAGGATCCAGTGCATGAGCCAAATATTTGACTGGAGAGCATTTTTGTGTATAAGACTAGTGATTTTTGCCTTCAGGCTGGAAAGAAACAATAAATACCTGAGAAGGACACCACAAAGAAAAAGTTCTAATGATATTCACTTCAATCCTGCTTCATCTTACAGAACACAGTTCTTATGAAGCTATGGATCATTAAATAATTATTGTTAGGGCTTCTGAATCACCTCCATAACACATAAACATCAAATATCACCCCAAAGATGAAGGGCTACCTCAGAGATGAAAGAGAAGATTTTATGCACAAAATATTTTCTTTTGCTGAAAACATCCAGAGACAGGTTTTCAAATGAAAGAAAGTCTACACAGAAGTTGGCAATGATCACCTTGCAGTAGCATGGCAGAAATGCAAGTGACACCATGGAGGCTTCTTAGTGAAAGCCTAGGGAAAACAAAAATCCCTATTTGCTGTGGTTTCTTTCTACTCAATGTATAATGCTACTACCGCCTGCATGGCATTGCTCTCCTGTGTCTGTATTGCAAATGGGCTGGTGCTTATCTGCATAAAATGTGGTGCCACAGCTGTTACTGGGGAGCTGTTAATCCATTCGCTTAGAATTTGATGCCCTTGAATAGTGCCTATTCCAGCATGGATTTCACATGCCATTTTCAAATGCTCTTGAGCAAAGTTCAATGGCAACTTTTTGTCATATAATATTTTGCTAACTTCTATGAGTTAAGGAGCAGCAGAAATCCTTTTTTCCTCAATGAAGTTTGGGAGGGATATGTACAAAGGAATGTAATGCCTCCCATTCCCATAACCACAAGGAATGAAAAAGCATCTTCTACCTCTTTATAGCAGTGTAAATTGTTTCTGATACACATTAGATCTGTGGGAATTTGAAGGGCTGTTTCTCGCAGTAATAGATGAGTGACTGTATTGCCTTTTTTCCTCCTGTCTATATGCTTTTGGGTTGGCCCTTTACCCTTAATGTGCACAATTATGAAGTGCTTCCTATCGTACATCTGATTTAGCTTTAAGAACTTAATTTCCCAACAGTGCATCTAATCTTTAAAGATGGTTATTTTTCTTATTTTTTGGATGAAATTTTCTACCCACAGTGAATTCTGTGAGGAAATGGTAGGACTAAGACAGTTAACCTGCCAGCTACACTAACAAATCAGATAGTTTGACATCTAGACCAGACTATTAGTTCCTGCAATGAACTGACAACATGAAACCACAGATGGAAGGATTAGGTGTTGCAAAATTTTACCTGCCAAATTGGAGGCTATGTTGTCCTCTCAGAAGAAACAGCCCATTTTGGGATGCATCCTCAAGAAGGAGAATGTGGCAGCTGTTTCACTTTTTGCAGCAACATGACACAGTGTTATAGGAAAGAAAATGCAGAGAGTTATCTCAGTTGATTGAAATGAAGCCAAATGACAGTGTGCCATACCACAGCCACTCAATTACATACGTTGAATGTAGATAAAGTTGTAGTTACCCATAATGGACTTTGGCCAAAAGACAACATCATGAATCTTTCCAAGACACTAAAGGATTTTCACTGACCAAAACTTTAACATGTTGGCAGATAACTGCTAGGTTGAAGGCCATTTGGGGATAACAAAAATAGATCATACATGTCACTGTAGATAGCATATGGCTGTAAGCCACTGAAATATAATTGATCAAACTTCTATCTCTTTGGACGGAATGATGAACATTATACTGTCAAATAACCCAGATTCAGCAAAAATTCCTGCAGACATATGTCATTCCAATTACTTAAATCTCTGATACAGTGATTACAAGCAAGCAGTGCAGTAAGCTCTGTGAGGCTGTAGCTTGTTTTAGTACTTGTTTCTTTTTTATTAAAATGGATGCTCTAAACACTATGCATTCTTGTAGAGAAAAGGATTGCAAACTGAACTATAAAGTTCACTGTTTTGAATTAAAGCTCTTGCTGTATTCCACTGAACATCCTCTACCTTCAAGATAATTACAGCATCTGCTGTTGCCAAGTGCTGCATTAGTCCTTTTCTAAAGTGTGAAAAACAAAGCGCCTAACATCAAATCAGACATTAGAAAATATAATAAGTTGCTCAAATGAAATTAAGTGAGACATAAACCTGAACATATTTTAGAGTCAGAAAAGTATTTTGGAATTAGATCTCTGCTCTGACTTTGAAAAGCCGGGCCATATTTTACTGCTTAGGGTCCAGTCCTTATCTGCCCTACTGAGCTCAAAGCATCCTTGCACTTACTAGGTCAGCAATAACATTTCTACTATGCAGCAAAATGTGGATGTTTTGAAGACTAAAAATTAATTACAATCTTACTGGAAAGGATTATTGTATTAATAATGAAAAAGTCCACAAGTTCAGCTAAATATTAGAGAACAATGACTGATGCTTTTCTCCAAAGGCAGCCTTTCTTACATATCTCTTATTCTTTTAGGCTGGAGGCAGGATAATTTTTATTTTATTTAAAGTTTAATTGACCCTTTTTAAGACTTGATCCAAAAGCCACTGAAACAGTCTCCTTGACATCAAAGGATTTTGGACCGACTCCTTAATGAATGTAAGCACAAATGTTCTAAAAGGAGAAACAAATATTTCTTTGCTTCTGACATGAACTATTTTTAGTGCTGCAAGGTCAGATAGTAGATTTTGGCATGAGAATGTTTGATATAGATACTTTTCAAGGCAGAAGCAGTACAGTATTTTGCATAAATACAAGTACAGATGTTTGTTTGGAGGTCAGAGTTCATAAATAGTCAAGTATGTACACAGATACACAGTGAATGTGTGCCAATTTACTTTAACATATCAATAAACTACCTCTCTGGAAAACTGCCTTTGGAATTTAGTACCTGAGATTTGTGCTCTAGATCCACTTCATTGTTGGCCTACTATATGATCTTTGGTCAGAAAATAAAGCCAGGATCTGCACCAATGGACAGATCAGTCCCTTGTGAGCAAGGTAATCTAATCATCATCCCATATTCTGGAGGAAGGAAAAACAGATTTGGGCTGTAAAATGAGAAGTAATGATGGATAGCAGATCTCTAGGCATCATAGTTGATAGCCCATAACACAAAACAATTATCATCTCCCCATGTAGAAAGGAATATGTAAAATTTGGTGTATGCTGACTGCTTTTTCTGAGAGAAAATACAGCCTGGAAGAGATGGAAATAAACCTCTGCTCCCTCAAAAGTTTTTCTAGCTCTAAGTAGTGTCCTTGGAAGTAATGTAATTGTGAAGTGAGATGGATGTTCATTTCTGTGAACCTTTCCCCTCCAGGCTCACCTCCTCTGCATTGCTACATTCAGCCCAAGTGGTCTATGGCCTGGAAGAGAAGATGGATGGGTTCCAACTTGGAGACCTGGCATCCAATCAGCCTGCCAATGAAAAAAACCCATGTCCTTTGCCCAGGAAATCATATGTGAATGTTGGGATGACCTTCCATGCTCTTTCCCTCACACCAGAATTTGCTGTCTGCTTCAGGTGTAAAAAACAGCTTATTATCCTGTCTATTGAACTGCTATGTTCATTTATGAATTATGAATTATGGTTACTTCTCACATGACCTCTTTTTCATTTTCATCTGTGAGATTCCAAGAGCACCTGAAATCCTAAAGGACACCACATGTAGTAGGAAGCACAGGGTTGGGGGGAATTTCCCCAAGGTTGCAGAAATGGCTAACAGGGTAAAAGCCCATTTTCATGCTGAAATTCTGGCTCTATCGCTCTGATACTAATTGCTTGAGCTGTGGGGTATTTGAGTCCACCTGTAAGAAGGAGGTTTTATGGACTGCCTTATCAATCATCAGTGCTGGAGGTGCATTCTCCCCCACCTTGGAAGAAAAAAGCAGAATTTGTGGCTAAAAGGGACTGAAGTTTAATGCAGTTTCCTTGGGCCAAGTGTATTGAGAAATTGAATATATATAGATTTGAGTAATGTGTTGGGAGCAGGAAGAATACAAATATATATATATTTATATAGTTCAGGAAAGATGGAAGAGATGGAAAAGAAAAAAATCAAAGGAGCTGAAATAGCCAATAAGCTCCATTACTAACAAAAATAACTGTTATCCCCTGGGGTATAGATAAGATTGTTTTACTAAGTGGTCTTTTCAGATATAGATGTGAAACGGCATAAACAAGACCCAGAGCCATAATTAGGGGCAGAACTCCACCACAGCATTAAATATGTTGATCTCTTGTGATGTAAAGGACTGGCCTTATCTAGGATACATGAGAGGAGAGGATACCACTCAGGCTTTCACAGAGGTACTTAGGATATGCTTAAACAGCCCCATCCACAGCCACGAATTATATCTGGATCTGAATAAAAGATTTTATATAAAAACACGTGTTGAAAATAATCTCAGATATTATTTTATTTGGAGACCTGTCTTCTACATGGGACTGCTGGTTTGCCAATAGGTATTTTTCGGCCTTGCACGGAATCGAGAGCTGGGAGGAGAGGATGGATGCAGGAGACGCCGGAGCGCGGGGGGCGCAGCGCTCCCTGCCGCCGGCCCAGAGGCGACGGGAGCGGCAGCGCACTGGGGACACTGGGAGCACTGGGAACACTGGGAGCACTGGGAACAACGCTGTCGCACCCTTTCGTGGCAGCGAGCTGCTAGGACTTTTACATGAACGGCCACATGACAACGACCTTAAAAATGAAATAAAAATCATTGTAGCAAATTTGACAATGAAACGGACTCGTTAGAGGAACTCCGGGTTATTCTCTGTTTTCCAGAGCTTCTGAACGAAGCGAGTGTCAAAGCGCCGGCAGCTGGAAGCCCATCCGTGGGAAGTGTCCGTCTGTCCGCGGGGGATCCGTGCGCCGGATCTCTCCCCAGCACCCAGCACAGCCGCCCCGCGGGTGGGCAGCGGCGCTGCGGCCGCGTGGGGCCACCTCCGAGAGAAAAAACCCTCGGGGCTCGCTGAAACACGAGCGAACAGGGCCGGGAGCAGGAGGGCAGTGCCTCACCCGAAACTCGGGTGACCCAGCCTGACGGGGCTCCGAGGCGGCAGCGACCCGCCCGGGAGGGCGGCGGGGCCGGCGGGGAATCGTGCCCTCCGGTGTCCGGAGGGGAATCGTGCCCTCCGGGGGCCGGCGGGGAATCGTGCCCTCCGGTGTTCGGCGGGGAATCGTGCCCTCCGGGGGCCGGCGGGGAATCGTGCCCTCCGGGGGCCGGGGGGGAATCGTGCCCTCCGGTGTCCGGGGGGGAATCGTGCCCTCCGGTGGCCGCCGGCCGCACAGCCCGGCCCGGCCCCGCTGAGCCGCCCCAGCCCCAGCCCCGCCGGCAGAGCGCAGCCGCGCCCACCCACGCCGGGCCCAGGTAGGAAGGACGAATGACGGGAGATGCTTGTCAGCTTTTCCGCGTCCTTGGTTGTATGAGCTGCCGCGGTGATAGGAAGGAAAAAAGGTGAAAGAAGAGGAGAACTGGGTCCCGCTCTCATACACTATATATTCATTCTGCCCGTTTGCTGCTGCTGAGCAGAAATTTGTACCAGGGCACAGGGAGAGTTGTCAGCCTGCTTCCCAGTGTGCTTTCTACACGGAGCAAATGACAGCATAAACTCTCGTGGGCAAAGTTGCCAGATGCGCTCTCATCCCTTTTGAAGGGGTATGGTCCTGACCAGGCTTTCACCTAGAATCCATAGGATTCTATATATAGTATACCTGGCCACGGAAACTAGCAGGGAAACTTTGATTGATTTCCATGGTCTTTGCAACATAAAGGTAAAACCTCTGAGAAAACACCCAACTGAAGGTTTCAGCATCAAAAACATGCAGGCAGGCTGTCTCTAGGCATGCAATGTAAGACATTGCTCACTGTTCCAAGGAATCGGAGCAGTGAGTTTTACCACAGTGAGCAGCCTTTGTGACCTAAATTACATGTGTATGTGCTTGCTGTATGGGGAATACAGAACAGCCTTACTGCAATCCAACTGTAATTTGTGCATATGCACAATCTGTTTAACACATTGATGAGGGGCAACATTGTAGTTACAACCACTAGATCTTGAGCGCACTAGTTCTTAAAGTTCTGCACTGATTTATAAATGGGAAGACAAAATTCGGCCTTTCATTCATTCATTCACTCTTTGAAATCAAGTAAAGAATCAACCTTTTGACCTACTCCCCACAAAATCATGATGTTTCTGCCTGGTTAAGGCAGATATTGCTTGTCCCATCCTGTGAGTGTCTCAACAGTTAATAGTGCCTACAGAAGGGTTGGCATCAAGGTGGGGCCATCCCTTTACAGCTAATTCTCTGTGATCCACCATGACTACAGTGATCATCATAGACCAACTTACTCTTCATTTCTTCCTACCAGGAGTTTGTAATTTATTTAGCTCTGTGTTCACAGCCATACCTGCAATCTAGATGGCTGCTTTACCAGGGTTGTACCTTTCTGCAGAGGTGACAAAATGCTGGAATGTTCTGGGTCCTGCCAGTGTTCCATGCAAGAGTGTTCCATGACATATATTTTCCTGAGCTGAGGCCCAGGGAAGCTTGCAAGAATGGACCTGGAAGTATCTCTAGAAAGGTCCTGGACCTGTTTGCAGTTTTCCTTGCTACTGCCAAAGAATGAAACAGGGTTGAAATTCTGCCCGTGGCGTCAGGAGAGTTCTTACCTAAGCCAAGCCTATGCATAGAGAAAAACAGGACATGATGTCCTTTATCCCATGCTCTAAAGTGGTCTGAAGAACTACCTTAGCTGAGGTTCAAAACAGATGGTTTAACACTACATAACTAAAATACAATTATTATTTTAGTGTGAAATGCAAGGGCTTCACCTCAATCCTCATCAGAATTGTAGATTTCAAAATAAACCAGAATTTAATTGATTTTCTTTAATCTCTGCTCAGACTTCACTCCCCTTCCCTTCTGACATGTGCTCACACTGAAAAAGATCAACAGTACATGCATGCACACACAAACACATCCCCACATATAAACACACCAGTATGCCTTTCTCTCTCACACAGACCCCCAGACATGGCTCTCTGACATATCCACCCTCCTCCCAACACAGCTCCACACACTCCAGCACTAGGCAGGTTTGCTGCCTGCCAGCAGGCCTGGGGGATCCAGGAAGACTCCCACAGCCAGCCCAGCCCAGCCCAAGTCCCTCAGGACAGATCATTGCCACCACAGCTTCTCTGGACCCTGCACTCCTGTGTGAGTCTTGACAGTAACATCATAGGCTTATATATATGCCTTTGCTCCTGAGCCCATAATTTGGGAGTCAGAGTTAAACCAAAACCCAAAATGAAGATGATGGAAGGGGTGAGGCAGGGAGGGTTGTCCTGGTTTATGCAGCAGTGTGCAGGTCACAGGTAGAACCACATGAGTCCTGCTAAACACTGCTGGTTTCTTTTGCTGCAGTTTACACAAAGAGTAGCTAACACTAAGCCCAGCCATCTACTATGGTAAACTACTCCTCTTTCAACTCCATTCCTACATTTCTCCATGTTTTCAATTGTTATAAACCATGTAACACTACTTCCCCATCTATCCTTGACTTCTCCATACACCCTGCTCCACACACCCTCCTCCCGCCCCATGACAAGCAGGTGATGTCCTGCATCCCATTCGAAGTTCAGGTTACCCAGACAAGTTGTGCATCTTGCCAAATCAGCTCAGGATGTGCTGCCCCTCCCTCCTTTCAGGCAGCATCCTGTTCCCAGCAAGGTAATAGCTATCCAGGTTTGGTTTTGCCCTGTGATTTTTATTTTTCTTATAAGAAGAATGAGGGAAGGAAGGTGGATAGGAAAGCAGGCAGGCAGGCAGGCAGGCAGGCAGGAAGGAAGGAAGGAAGGAAGGAAGGAAGGAAGGAAGGAAGGAAGGCCCCTAGAGCCACCTACAGATGCTCATCACTACTGTTTCCAACATTGATTCTGTAATGACACTGCTCAACACTCCCGAGGAGCAGTGAGGCTCTGGGTACAGACAAAATTATTGGTGAAAGGGAGGTGAAAGGAGAGCCAGCTATTCTTACCTTGGGATCAGCAGCTGCTGCCAACACAAGAGAACCCCTGAAGCTCTCAGTGTTAAGCTGAATGAAGAGGCCTGACACAGCAGGGACAAGCCGAAAGCCGAGAAAGCCGTGCAGGCTCACTGTGGGTCTGCGTGCGGCGTGCCTTCCCTTGCCGGCTAAGGCGGTCCCTGTTTCCTCCCCGGTCCTTTTTCCAGCTGTTTGCCAAAAGAGAAGGTTTTGGGCAGACTGCTATGTGCTCGCACCCCGGGATGGAAATCCAAGAAGGAGACCTCGCCGAGAGGGGCAGCGAACGGAGAAGCGCTGGGACAGCTCCGGCGGCGGCGGGTGCCGGACGGCGCTGCGGCGGGGCCGGGGCCAGGGCCGTGGGCGGGCAGCTGCCCCTCGGCGGCGGCCAAGCAGGGTCCTGGCCCCTGCCAGCTCCCGGGATGAGACGCCTCTGCTCGGAGGAAAGGGAGTCAGTCCTCAGGTAGAGGAGAGAGACGACTCTGTTCCCCGGAGAAGATGTCAGCGCTCTTCCACGAGCCTTGTTTTATTTCATGCCTGGGATTTATCGCTCCTCTGCCATTCCGTTTTCCCTGTCCGCCCTCACACCTCAAACAAGCCGGGGAGCTCTGCGCTGCCGGCGCTGCCAGCTCCGCTCCGCACCGTGCCCGTCCGGGCGGTGGCTGCCAGGCCGGCAGCAGAGGAGCGCGGTCCCCACGCAGGGAGCAGAGAGAACTTCGCCCCGTTTACTGATGGATGGCAATTTCTAGCTTTCCCTCCCAGGCGCTCCCCGTTTGAATCTGAGCTGTTGTTTAAAAGACACACCACCTGCTCTGTGCTGCCAGAGAGCGGGGAAGGAGGCACAAAGGCGGGGGATGGGAAGAAACAGCTTTGGCTGCAGACATAGAAGAGAAATTAAAATAAATAATCTCTTTTCCCAGGAAGTGCCGGATTCGGGTGCCTTGTGGGAGGACGGACTGAAGTGAGTGCTCAGGACACAATGAGTGTGGGCAAAGAGGGTCTGTATACCCTCCCGTCTCCCGGTGTGCCGGTTGGTGACGCGGATCCTCCCGGGTTGCTCTTAAGCCGAGCTCAGGGACTGGTGCTTATGCATATACGAACCAATACTTGGTTTCCCAGCTGCTTCCACCTCTGAAGATGGCTTTCTCCGAGCTTAGTCCTTCAGCTTGGCAGGACGAGACTATGCCATCACCCCTCCCCAAGCCCAGAAATGTGCGACTCACTCCGCTAGTCAGATCCCAGGGCGCTCAGTGATTGGGAAGTGCGGCGTGTGCTAAAGCGGGTCAAAATTAGGATGCGCCTTGATGCTGCGCCGCGGGTAATTCCCTTTTCCTCCTTTTTGCTACAAGCCGTGTCCGCTGCGGCGAAGAAAGCCCGAGAGGTGCAGGCTAACCCCGGCCGCTCGGGGCGGCTGCCCCAGCACAGGCTCTGAGCGGCTCGCTGACCCTCCCGCAGCAGCGCACGGGGTGTTGGGCACCCCCAAAACCTCCCGGCCCGGCCCTCAGCACCACCCCAAAGCCGAGCGCTAACCGAAGGAGTTTGAGAGAGAAACCACGGAGAGGGAAACGGAGAAAGAGGTTGGGGTAGAGATGTATGTGAATGCCTGTGGGGAAGCCAGATCACTTGTGAATGGCTTGAAAAAAAATAATTGGGGGAGGGCGTGGAGGGGGGGAAGCGGAAACTTTCCTATAAAACTCAGCAAAAGTCCCTCCTCTCCACGTCAGGCCAATGACACTGCTGCCCCCAAACTTTCCGCCAGCAGGAGCTATAAGAACCTCCAAGCCTTCAACTTTCTCCCAATCCCAGACACCTCGAAGGGGCTCCAAGGAGGGATCGGGAGGGATATTTTTTTTTTGGTTGGCCTTTTTATTTTTTTCCTCTTGGATCCTGATGCCATCCCCCCTCCCCCCAAAGTGAGGTCCTCCCTCCTTCCTTCCCTCCTCCTTCTCGCAGGCCAGCGAAGCAGCCGATCAAGGGGGAGCTGGCGGGTTAGGTGCCCCCCTCTTCTCCCTGCCCTCCCCCCCCTCCCGGCCCGCTTCTCGCGTCTCCCCCCAGAGATGATGCAGCAGGACGAGTCAAACTCTCCAGTCTCCCCCGCCGACGACAGCTTGAGCAACAGCGAAGAGGAGCCGGACCGGCAGCAGCTGCCCAACAACAAGAGAGGGGGGCGCAAGCGCCGCTCCAGCCGCCGCAGCGCCGGCGGCGCCGTCGGGGCCGCGGACGAGCCCTGCAGCCCGGCCCAAGGCAAGCGGGGCAAGAAGTGCGGGGCGGGCGGGGGCGGCGGGGGCGGCGGAAGCAGCAGCGGCGGCGGCAGCCCCCAGTCCTACGAGGAGCTGCAGACCCAGCGGGTCATGGCCAACGTGCGGGAGCGGCAGCGCACGCAGTCGCTGAACGAAGCCTTCGCCGCCCTGCGGAAGATCATCCCCACGCTGCCTTCGGACAAGCTGAGCAAGATCCAGACCCTCAAGCTGGCGGCCAGGTACATCGACTTCCTCTACCAGGTCTTACAGAGCGACGAGCTGGACTCCAAGATGGCAAGCTGCAGCTATGTGGCCCACGAGCGGCTCAGCTACGCCTTCTCGGTGTGGAGAATGGAGGGCGCCTGGTCCATGTCCGCATCGCACTAGCAGGCGGCGTCCCCCACCCGCATCCCCCCGGCAGGAGCCCTAGGTAAGACAGGGACCCCGAAACCGGCGGGAAGAAAGGGGGGAGGGAGGCGAGAGGCCGCCGGCCGCGCCGTGAGCTGAGCACGCGTGGCCGTGGGGCGAGAGGGCCCGCACCCCGCCCGGAGGGGCCTGGCTTCCCGGAGCAGCCGGAGAGCGGGGCGGCCGGAGGTGCCTCTCCCACTCCGGCCTGTCCCTCCTCCTGCGCGGCCCGAGGTGCGCCCCGAGCCCCGCGGGGCCCACGCGTGGCCGGGCGCTGCCGGCGGGGTGGGCTGCGGGCGGGACGCGGCGGCCGCGCGGGTGTGCCCCAGCCAGATGGGGCCGGCCTGAGGTCTCTTCTTCACCAAACGCTGCGGAGCCGGCAGGGCTGCTGGGACGGCTCCTGCTGCCGCCACTGCTGGTGCTGCTGGTGCTGCTCGTATTTTGAAGTGATGTCCTCCCGTTGTGCTGCCCGATGAGGGTTTCCTACCACCCCAGCAGTCCCTTTCCTCGGCCCTGACACCGGGGACCGCCGGCTGGGGTGTCACTCGGCCACCGCACCGCCCGCGCGGCGAGTTCTCCCTTCTCCCTTCTCCATTCCTGCCCGATACGCGTTATTTCCAGAGACAGAGAGGTGTAGGTAGATATTTGTGTAACTTTCGTTTCAGTAACGAGTTTTCCGCCCTTTCTGGGTTTTTGCAGATGACATTGTTCCCACAGAAGGAGAGAATGGACAATCTAGAGACTCTGAAGTTGGATACGATTTTAAAAATATTTTCTAACCAAAAAATGTACCAAGGATTTCTTGGAAATTACAAGAGTAAAATCCAAATTCAAAGCAGGGCGTGGGGAGCACTTAAGGAAAGAGAAAGAGAGAAGGGCTTTGGACAGTGACTACCCTCTGGGCGTCGGTACAATCCACACATCTCTACATTCTGATAGAAGTCTGAATCGTTCGATTTTTTTTTTTTTTAATTTTGACGAAGAATGTTGGAATTGAACTTTTTTTTTCTGTTTGCCCTTTTTTTTTTTTTTTTTTTTGCATGCATGCATTCCCTAGAGGTCGTGCTTATGAGCCACTGATGAAAGAAAATACATTATTGTGGACTTTCTTCATTGTTGAATGAAACCAAGCAGCCAACCAAAAATATCCCTGTAGAGATGAAAACCTTTTTTTATTTTTTTTTTAATTTTTTAGGGGGGAATAAGCTGGGATCAAGCTGTTATATACCCGGTTCCTAACTTTTTTATTATTATTATTTTTCCTCTGAGAAAAAAATAAACATTTTATTTATTTATTGATGACCCATGTTAAAATGCAAATAGATCCGGTGTCTAAATGCATTCCTATTTTTATGATTGTTTTGTAAATATCATTGTATATTATTTTTCTGCAATAAATAAAATATGATTGAAATTTTAATAACCTGAAAGTTTGGTCTCTCTGAAAACTCCGGGTTAGAACTGTAGATAAATACCTGCTTGTTGAGCTGTAAAGACACCCAAGAGAGAGGGGGCACTAGTATAAACAAACCAGGCGGAAAAACGCAAATAAACTAGCTACTGACAGACACAGGCACGTTATTTATTGAGACAGCTTTATTATTTTGTGCCGAAACTCACTGCATCTGCAGAGGAAGGTATTGTCTCTTCTCTCTTTCTCTCCCTCTCCCCCTTTAATCTTCACGCCAGGCACGGCGGAGTTGCGCAGGGAGCGGAGTTTGCACAGCAGAGCTCTATCCCTGCCTTCGTGCTTTGCCCTCAGATGTAAGGCAGGAGCGGGCCCGTTCCCCAGCCCCCGGTGCAGGTACTTTTGCTGATATCCCTGAGAAAGTGGCATCGGTTTTAAACAGAGATTCGTCCATCCAAAGGGAAAGCAAAAGAAAGTGAGATTGAAATAGGGAAGTGCCTAGCGAGTGGGGTTTTCCGGTGGAAGTGATGTTTGACTGCTCTGCTCTCTAGGGTTTTATATTATATATATACACTAGTGATCGCATTTTCGTTGTGCAAAGCACGGAGGGATATTCTAACCCACTCTCTTCTCCCTTTCTACGTGTAGAGCGCATATTGTCTCTCTTTCTTTTCACCATACTTTCCGCGGGGTCCTAGTATGCGGCGAGAACTCGAGCTGCAAAAAAAAAGAGGGAATCTGCAGATCTAAGGGCTTGGAAGGAAGGTGAGAAGGAAGTTGTAAAAAAAAGCCAGAAAACATAACAACTCAAACCAAACTTCAGCCCTTATAACCGGACAGCTGACTGGGTCTCTGCTGTCACTTGCTTATCTCCCAGAGCTTGGCAGCCGGGCAGTGAGCGGGGAGCGGCGCCTCCTGCCCCTCCGCGGCCGCGAAAGGTGCGCGGGTGCGCGGGGACCGCTGCCGCCCTGGGAGGTGAGCAGTGCCCTCCGTGGAGACAGGGACTCTGCCGCCCAGTGTCTATGGTAAATGGGATGGGGTACTTTTTCAAGACAAAGCCTGTTTCCATAGCCCATGAGTTGACTTTATTTCCTGTATTTGTTTCCACATCCCCATATTGCCGTGTATTACCCACACAGCACTATTATGAAATCATATCGGGCATATTTTAAACCAGCGCGCAATGTTTACTGTAGAGAGTTCGCAGTGCTTGTTTGCACTGACGGATTAGCAAGCACTTGAAAATTAGATGACGGCCCTGGTGGTCGCAGATCTCAATGATGGAGAGAAGGGGAAGCCGCTGCGAGCTCCCGAAGGGTCGCTGCCTTTCCCCGGCACCCTGGCACCCGCGGCTGCCCTCTCAGCGACTCCGAACACCCGGCTCCGATGCGGTCGGCTGCCGAGGAGCAGGTAATGTCTGCCCGCATTACCTCGGCTGCAGCGAAGGCGAGAGGCACGGGGAGCAGGCGCAGCTTTGGCAGTGGAGCTAAGGGGATTTGGGAGGTTATAGAACGTTTCGGTTGTTCCTTTTGGGGGAGAAATCCCCCTTGGGAGGAAAGGTGGGGAAAACTCCTCGCATTTAGGTAGAAAACAGGTTCCGGGAATGAAAAAAAATAACCAACCAGACAAGATGCTCGATGCTGAAGAAAAGGCGTGTTTTGTGGAAGGGGATTCCTGCGAAACATCAAGGAAGAATCAAGTGCACTGTAAAAGCCACGAATCACACCGTGCTCGGCCTCAGAATTCGGGAGAGGCCCTGCTTGATGGGCTCAAAGCTGACTGGCTCTTTTGCAACCGGCAGAAGCCTCTGGGCCAGCCGCTGCAACACCTTTCCAGCAAGCTGAACACCCGAGTGAGAAAAATCCCCAATTCCTATCCGTGAGGCTCCTGCCACCAGCAGGTCTTCCCTTCTCTCTTCTATGTCCCTCTGAGCGAGTTCCTGCCGGCGCGGCAGCATTCCTGGGCAGCAGCCACTCAGCCAATGCTCTTTCCCGGCTGACAACCGCTACCTCTGTCTCATAAAAAAAAAAAAAAATCATTAAAAAGAGATAAATCTGTTTTAAAACTCAGGGCCTACCCTTTCCTTCGCTGAAACTGGGGACTGCAGATGCCTGGTGCTCCCCGGGCTAGAGCAAAAAACGATTAAGTCAGCGACAGCCTTACTGAAGGGAAAATGAAATAATATGTATATTAATTTGCCTTCTGGGAATTTTAAACACTCTTGCAATCGGAAAATTAACTCTGCCATTGCAAATCCTGATTGATTTCGCTGTTTTCTCAGAGGCATCAATCTGTCCCGCTTATCCGCAAGCTAAGCGGCGCGGGCCCGCGCGGCCCCGGCGGAGCTGGCGGGGCGCGGAGCGGCGGTGCCGGCGCTGCGCCTCCTGCGGGGCGGCGGGCGGGGGGCGCCGGCCGCGGGCCCTCGCGCATTCCTGGGTTTGGCAGGGGCCGCCCCGCTGCTTTCTCCAAGCCGGTATCGGATTCCTCCCCGGCGTATGATTTCACTTGAAGTCCTGCCCAGGAGCCCTTCAAAGTGCGCTCTTGTCCCGCTCCCATGATGTCAGGCGGTTTTCCCTGCATCTGTAATTTTAAGAAAAACAAACAAACGCGCCATGGGGATGTGGGGGGAAACGGAGGGAGAAGGCGGGGGCACAAAAGTCACAGAAAAGCGCAGGGGGAGAGGGACTCACCTGCGGCGGCGGCGGAAGCTCGGGCACCTGCCTCCCGGGGCGAGCCGCCGCGGGGCTCGGCGACTCCCGGGAACGGGCTCAGCTGCCGGAGCCGGTGCTCCCGCAGTCGCTCTCGGTGGCTGCATCAGCCCGGTTCACACGGCTCTGCCTTCACCTGCCCGCTCCGGCAGGCAGCAGACCCGCCGGGAGGGCGAGAGCACTCCCGCCATAAATTAGCATCTTTGGGAAGCGGGTGGTGGTGGTGGTGACGGCAAATCCAATCCACCCCGTAAAGGGATCCGGGAGGCTAAAGCAAAAGAATAAAAAGAGGCGCACTCATCCACATCCCATCAGGACTTATTTTATTTGCTGCACACATAACCTGCCCGCAGTAAACATGGCACAGGATGTATTTTACATTAACTTCTGCACCAGCTTCTTTCGACTTCAGTCCACTTAATGTTCTTGGCAAATCAAAGCACGTGTCCTTTGAAGAAGGTGTGTAATTGGAGTTTAAGGCATGTATGGAATTCCCAGATGTCTATAAAGTAAGAAGGAGCATTTGGCAGGTCACTTGAAGGTGGAGCAGGTTAAAATCACTTGTAGAAAAGTCTCCCTTTTCTTTTTTAAAGCAAACAAGCCAGCCATTTATAAGGACCAAATGATCGACATTGCGGGAGGCTTACAACGGTTTTACAGAGCAAGAACAATAAAGCTGCGGAAACTTAACGATGATGGTAACACCCGTTTTGAAATTCGAAATAAAACGCAAAACAAAATTAAATATTCAGAACGGAGAAAGAGCTGTCCATTCTCGTAGAAATTCCTTGTCTCCTCCGCCCGCTCGAGAACACTTACATTGTTCTATCTACGTAGTCGTCTTGTCTTGGTTAGCGGACACCTCCGCACTCTTTTCATAAAGAGGTGACGTTACATTTGCAGAAACTTTACAAAAATTCTCTTATTCACTGTATAGACACGGGCAAGAAAATTAGTACTTTACTCCAAAATAATTCAGACGAACCACCATGGGGTAAAGACGGCTACAAAGGTCTACATCGGGAGGGATTAATAACGGCAGAAACAATAACGGAAGTGGTTTGGGACGATTAGATGCTGATCATTTCACTTTGAGAGTATTATAGCATTCGTGCAAAATATTAGCCCAAGCCAGACTCTGGATTCGCTTGGGGTGGGGGGTGGGGGGAGGGATGGGGTGAAAATCCTGTTTGCTGGGCTGCAGAAATCCCAAAGCGAAATACTGCGGTGGGAAGAAGACCCGTTCTGCCCTCCTAATGCAGGGAAATCTGGAGGTGGGAGGGGGCGACATGAGGAAGGATGCTCTTGGGAAGGGTCGGGGTCGCCCCCTCATGATTAGGGTTGCTTTGTTCTTTTCGGGCAGATGCAGAGTCATTAAACAAGCAGTCAAGAAAGGAGCAATACACGCGACTGCAGCCGTGGAGGAAAGGAGGGCTTCAGAGGGGAAGGGATTTTGACATGTGAAAAGTTAAGCAGGTACCTGAAGGAGGTTTATTTTGACCAGATGTTAAAGCTTTTATGAAAATGTCACGTGAAGTGAACAGATGTACAACTTGCAAATGGAGCCCCGCCTTGTAAACACTGGGAAGAGAAAGGCTCACAGAAATTCAAGCATAAATCATTCCTCGTTTTTCTACACGTGTGTATTTGCAGATAAATGTGCAGTATGTAAGTTCTACTAAAACTGATTTCTATTTGTTTGTGGGGAAAAAAAGAGCAGCCGTCCTGTCCAAGCTTGCAATTCTCTTCCAGTGTGCGAAACAAGTTTTTCCTTCCTTCCTTCCTTCCTTCCTTCCTTCCTTCCTTCCTTCCTTCCTTCCTTCCTTCC